GTATCTCTTCTCTCTCTTTCTCTTCTACTACTTTTTCTCTTTGTCTATCTTGTCTATCTTACATATTGACAATCTAGATTACAACAGGATTAACATTAATTATTTATGGCATAAATTATTTTTTCACGCTAAGATTTCTGATTTTTTGTGGCTCTATTAACAAAACAACAAGCATTAATTGCAGATACTATAGAATAAATCTCCTTTTTTAATTCTTCATATAAATCTCCACTACAAGAAAATAGAGCTCTAGTGAAGAATTTTTTTGTCACTATGTTGTCACTCTATCTACTGTCACTATATCTACAATTGTTGTCACTATATCTACAATTTGTAGATATAGTGACAACAATTGTAGATATACTGACAGTAGATATAGTGATAACAATTGTAGATATAGTAACAAAAAAATTCTTCACTAGAACACTATTTTTTTGTAGTGCTCCTCTTTCAAGGCTCCATATAAATCATTTATATGATAAAATCTTAACAATATCTTTCTATTTAAATATTTTTCATCAATCACTCTTTTTGGTACCAACGTGCTAAACAACAATTTGTATAAAAGGATATTCACTACCATGATTATTTCTTCACTTCATTCACAGCGTTCAGAGAAAATATATAGATAAATTTTTAGAATACATAGATAATATAATGCCGCCGGTCTGGGATACACTCGATTCCGTGAGTAGGACAAACAAATCTTATTTGCGATTGAAAGTAGTCCGAATAATTGAAACGCATCACGAACGGGAGAGCTGGAACGCATTCCATATACTGTTTCATGATGAACAGGTATACATTTTCATTAGTAATATCAAAATTATTTCTAATATATTTATATTATGAATTTCATTGTTCTTCCATGTCCTTGAAGGTTATTATTTCTAATATATTTATTATTTTATTAATTTTATTATGTTTTATTGTCATTCCATGACGTTGAATTATGAATTTTAGTGTTATTATATTTGTTATCGTGATATTACGTCTCTCATTCGTTTGGATTAAGTAATATTTACACGCTTGAATTATTGAGTTCCAATTGTTGTTTAAAATAAAATATCGAATTATTTTTTTTCTTTTATGTGCTTAAAAAAAATATTAGGCTTAATCAATTAATCAACTAATTAAATAACATAATAATACATTTGGGAGATTCATTTTTATAAATTGTTTCTATAATTAATTAATTGTGTTTCTATAAATTGTGTTTCTATAATCAATTAATATTTTATGCGTGTATAAATTTTTGTTTCTATAATAAATTGGATTAATTAACTGTGTTTCTATAAAAATTAAACATGTTTCTACATATCTATTAAAACTTTCTCTCTCTCTCTCTCTCTCTCTCTCTCTCTCTCTATATATATATATATATAATTGTTTAGTATAAAAAATATATTTTAAAAACTCTATAAATTGCCAATGATTGTAAAACGGAAATCATATCTTCCATGTCGGAAAATTAAATCAAAAAACAATACTAATTTGTTCAGGTATCGAAAATTAAATTAAAAAAACAATACTAATACGTACAGTAAAAGGAAATTAAATCAATACGAACCAAATGCATATATGCGTTTTTTTTGCTTAATTCAACACATTTTATACTTTTGCAGATTTAATACAAAAATAGTTTATATCTTCTACGCGATAAAATACAAATGTACAAATCCATAAGATACATTTTGTGGCCGCATATTATGCAATTATTTTGGAGTCTGCCAACAAAAAATAGAAATTATATTTCAATTCATCAATTAATTAAAGTTGGACGTAAAGATTAGTATTTACATTCCTATAAAATACCCAAAATCCTGCACCATCCAATTTTTATTCCCTTTCAATAAGTTTATAATTAAAACCCACTCTCAACAATTAAATTAATTGAAATTAATATATATTAATTGATTCATATATATATAAATAACATATTTTATCAATTTCTCCAATTCCTGTCCATAAAAATAAAACGCATAGAACTTTCAGAAAATATTAAAAAAAATGAGAGAGTTATTTGATACACTCCATGCTGTTAATAAGCAATTCTAATTATTGAGATAAAATTTGACGTGGAATCCAATAATTTTTTTGAGATCATCTTTCAAGATCGTGAGGTAGTATTTTGATTTGCTATATATGTATTACTAACTTACGTATTTTTTGAATTTAACTTATTTTGTATAACTTCATATTGTAGGGTGCACAAATAACTGCCATTATACGTTTTGCGCATATGTGTGCATTTCGGGGTGTATTTAAGCAATGCGATATATATGCACTCAGGAGGTTTTTAATAATGTATAATTTTTTGCCAATGACGATTTTATGTTTACTTTATAAATGTCATACGTGTTATAACAACTTATTAATAAATGACTTTTAATTATTTAAATTTTTCCAAAACATGTACTAGCCCGTGCATCGCACGGGTTACATACTAGTATTGTTAAAATAAAATGTAAAAAAAGTTTTAAGAAAACAAGCCGGCCGTGGGATACACACACACTAGTCATATAGTATACATAAAATTTGGCCAAAATAAAAGGTCTGGCCCAAACAGCAAACTAGCGTCGGGTCAGCCCGGGGTTCGGCCCAATGGAGAGACCCAATCTCTTCTGAGAAATTTACTCCCTTTAACATTCATTGGCTAAATAATATCAAATTTACTACTCTGCAATTTTTTTATCAAGATTACGTACTTTAATAACTAAAATAATATTTAATAGCTCAGGCGGTTAATTATGGCCTAACCAACCATTAAGTGAGATCAAATATATTTAATTAAGGACAATAATCTAGTCAGTTTCAAAAAGAAATCAGATTTGAGATTCTCTCTCCATATCGTATAGCAAAACTTATTCTAACAAAAAAAAGTTCATCTCTCATAAACCCAATCTCCGGCTGATATCTACAGCCGTATGAAACAGAATACTTGGCCATACGGATCGGACGACCGCCTTTTCACATCCCTCCCCTTCATCTGGAAAACTCCCGGCGGACCCGTCGGCCCCGTCAAAACCCTCTCAACAACCACCACTCCCTATTCTCCATGAGAGCTCAATCGCCGCCTCCAGCGGCAAGCCCCGATTTCACCGCGCGTTCAGAAAATCAAACAAAAAAAGGTGCTTGACGACACCAAGAAGAAGAAGTTCATGAAATGACGACAGTGAGGTGGACTCTGATATACCAAAAATTGACCCAAAAAATTGTAAGCGTCGATGAGATCAATCACCAGGAGTAGTAAACATATACACAAATTATACGTTAGTTATACACAATCTATATTGTGTTGTTTTTTGAAGGTGCTCAAAATTGTTGGTTGAACTTTATAACGTCATGTAAAGTTGAAATTTGTTTGAATTGTTAAGTTCTATGTTCAATTCAATGCCATGTAAAGTAGACATATGTTGTTTATCTAATGTTTATCTATATTCGATTTGAATTTTATATTCATTCAGAATTATGTATTATGTTTTATACAGTTTCAGTGTTGTTTATATGTTGTTTATCTTATGTATAACTATACAGTTATAATTAGAGAAATATCAGATCATGTTTATCTTTGTTTATATGTTGTTTATCTTATGTATAACTATACAGTTAATATTAGAAAAATATCAAATCATGTTTATCTGATGTATATATACAGTATAACTGAACATGTATTTCGTGGTTATGAAACAATAGTCAGTATATATACAGTATATCTGAATTTTTTTAACTTCAATGGTTTTGGCTCAACGGCTAATTTCACGATCTTTTTTCACAAACAACACCTACGTTTTTTTATCAGCTTATCGGTTTTTTTTTTTCGAACTGTAATAACTTGTTGAACCATAAATCCCGTTTCGAAATTTGAAATCGTGATTACCTAATTATAGGTGTCAAAATCGGCTTGTTCATTCCTTTCTTTTTTTTTTCTTTTTTTTTTTGGTAACTTCTGTTTCTAATGCGTTAATTTCGGCTTCTTTATTGCCATGACAATATATGGAGAGAGGAAACGGATGAGGTGATATAACTCATATGTCGTAGATATGAAAAACAAATCACATCCTAATCCTATTTTAATTAATGTTTGAAATCACATCCTAATCCTATTTTAATTAATGTTTGAAGGGGGCTTATGTATGTAATTTTCCCATCTATTTAACCTTCCAAACAGTTTTGGGATAGGGTTCACGATTTGCTCGAAGTCACGATTTCCAAACCTAATCGGGTCTGTTTCGGATTGAAGGTTCACGCTCATCTCTGACGATTTGCTCATCCTACTGAAGGTAGGGTTATGTGTTCTCTTATTTTGCCGTCAGGTTAATTGTTGTAGTTTTTCTCTGTTTTTATGAATATTTATTTCACACAAATTTGTTTTTTTTTTTGGGTGATTTTTTCCTCGAATTGGCGCTGTGTTGCTTTTGCGTCTTCAACCGCAATCCCTCCAGAAAGATGTTGGCGGTACGCTTTGATTTTGTGTCCTTTTCATTTTATTTTTCATCCATGGGATTTCTTTTGACAGTTGCTGATATGGGTTTTCAATCGAAATGTGTTTTCAGGAAGATTCAACTCTTGTGATGTGTTCTGATTTTTCACCATTCCTTGGAATTAAGAGGGCAGCAAGCTCCATAGCATTAGCTGCTGTCGAGATGAAAAAGTCGAAAGGGGTATGATTCGACTTGATTAATTCTTCTATATCTTATTATTTTTAGACTAGTTATTCATTCATTCCATTCTCTGCCGTTGTTAATTGATGATTGGGGTTTAACTGTATACTAGTAAATTGTTCCTGTGATGTATGGCTGACATTAATTAATATGAATGAGCAATTAAGCCGTTCATTGTTTGTGTGCGGGTGTGTTAAAAAAAAGCTTGCTTTAAATGAATGGATCTACAGTCGAGTTTCCTTTTCTTGGATGGTTATTATTGAGTAGTTATTGCACTTCCTGATTGAATTGATGAGCTGTTTACAGAGCGTGGATACTGCAGACCCAATCGCTAAGGTTTCTTTGTCTGATTTTGGATATACGCCTCTAACTGTACAATTCTATCCATCTTTCTCCGTCATTTATTCTCTGGCGCAGGTAATCTTCGTCATTTATATCTTGTTTTGTTAAGGATAGACAGAAACAACAATGGTGTTCTTTCCTGTTGTAAATAAACTCTCTCTCTCCCTCTCTCTCTCTCTCTCTCTCTCTCTCTCTTTCTCTCTCTCTCTCTCTCTTTTCTTATACTGCAGAAACACAGCCTTGAATATATGGTTGGCATGGTGAAAAACATCTCAAGGCTGAAGTCGCAAGTGGAAAATATTTTCTTTGCGCTGAAGCTTGCTGTTGGAGATGATCGATTTGTAGACCATCTTGGTCAGCTAATGCTGGACCTTTTAAACGATGAAGCATTTCACGAGGCATTTGTCGGGTTACATATTGAGGTATTCTGTGCAGTTACAATATTTTTTTCGTGGGGACAAACCTAGTACTTCAAATAAAATATATCATTCTTATTTGAAGGGTCCGTATCCGTATCCGTATGTGCTCGCCCTTGTAGAGGCTTACTCAATGACAAAAAGTGACCTAGAGCGAGTTGAGTGTCTCAGGAGAGACGCCGCATTGGGATTCGTTTTGCAACGCAAAACAGATGCCATTTGCTTTATGAGGTGATAATTGATATCTTCCATTTGTAAAATGAATATATTGAATTTTTTTCCTGTATTGTTGGTTTTATTTATCATGGTTCTAGTTGTATACTTCAAATAATTACGTTCTGTGCTTGGGCAAATTAATCTTTTGTGGCACAAGAAACCTATGGCAATAATGCTTTGACACCCGGCCAATTCTCTTAGCGTATGATGTCACTTTAAAACCCACCGATTTTTCTTCAAAGCGTTATGCAATTTCCCTGTGAGTTTTAGCTTCCTAGTGGGGGAGAAAGTCTCTTGATTGAGCCGCATGTTCAAGTGTATCAAAATTACATTCTTTGTCGTATGTAATGCCAACATATCAGAGAACTTCACTTGTTCCGGTTTCGAATCCGCCGTGCTGAAATTATATGTGCATGATGCGATCCGTTTTTTTTCTTTCTTTTTCTAATCCATTTAATTCAGTTTAGTTTATAAAAAGTTTGGATTTATTTAGATAATTAACGTGGTTTGTGAACACGGACATACAAGTCAAGATATACTCTATAAGTCCAACAAGCCTTATGTTTCCCTGATGACAGAAGCATAAGGCTATGGGGTCTCTTGTGTGATAGAATAGCCGGCTGCATTTTTGTATGACATGGATGCATCAAGTGTCAGTTTATAGATGTGCTCATTTATTTCTCTTTATTTTTTCTTCTCAAAGTGAAATGTTGAGCATCATATTGGGGTACTGGAGTAGCCCAGAGTTTTGCCTGAAGTTGCGTCGAGCGATTAATAGAAATGATGCAGCCAGGGAAGTTCCACTGGTGACTAGAATTATTAAAGTTGATGTTCCACCCTCTATTGAGGTACAAAACCCCAAGCATCATTTTTTCACCCCGTATTTTTTACGTTTAGGAACCTTTTGTTTAGGAATTGTGATACGAATATTTATGGTTATATCTAATAAAAATATGTAGGGCCTTAAAGAAGCATTGGCGACTAGGTTCAATGGTGATAAACTTCAGAGTATGTGTGAACTGGTAAGCGAGACACATTCACCTATCTCCGTCTCTCTGTGGCATCTATGGTGCAGTATGTAATATTTGTATGTCCATCTTCACTATTTTTTATTCCGTCTCTCCTTGCAGATAGATCGTGATAAAGATTTTTACGAGGTAAGCATCCTATCGTACGACCCCACAAATACGATAAAATGGTTCGACATTGAATGGTTTGACGAGGAGGAATTCTATATTGGTGTATGCGGTCACGATGAACACCCGCACCCTGGTTGCAGTCCAGTTTGATTGTTCTTTCCAACCAGCTACTTGTACTGGGATATGTTTAGATTTATTTTGTCACTTGTACTGGGATATGTTTAGATTTATTTTGTCACTTGTACTGGGATATGTTTAGATTTATTTTGTGATGTTGAACGCTTTATTTTATTTTGTTGATGTTGGACGACGATAATCCCTCTCAATTACATCTCCATTACAATTAAATTAGTGTTGTTAAATTAAACGAGTCTGGCACGACTCGACTCGAGCTCGGCTTGTTATGACTTGAGTTCGGCTCGAGACGAGCCGAGCTCAAGTTCATTTAAAGCTAGTTTGGTCAACGAGCTTGGCTCGTTAAGGCTCGAAAATAGTATTTTTAGATAATTTTTTTTTTTTGTAATTTTGGCTCGTTGAACCTCGAGATCGACTTGTGAAGGCTCGCAATAGGCTTGTTATTGAGTTGAGCTTTATTTCAGGTTCCTTTATAGGTCTAATTACTATGCCCTTCTTTAGACTTAGAGGGGTGAAGTAGCACACCGGAAAGTTGAAAGTTTATGTACTCATTCATGACTCATTTACCATTGTAATGTACGAAGATCTTCAATGGATATCCATCTTTTTCTTTTTTAAAAAAAAAAGAAACACTAATGAAAAAATATACGTTTAATATACGTAGTAACATGATGCGATTTTAAAAATAAACAAAAAGAAGTTCGACAAGAACAAAAAATTACTTGGTTTGACGAAATATGTTTTCAGGTTGCTGGTATTTGCAAATAGTTATAAGCTTGAAACTCAAACTCATTTTATTTCCTACTAGTATGTATCCCTGCGATTCACTGACCATATATATTTTAGAAAAAATTATAAATCGAAGGCTTCTCAATAAGTTGTAATACATATGACATTGTGAAATAATCCTAAATTCTTTGCTAGTAATAAGTCATATATTTTTAAAAACATTTTTGTAACATTATTACTTTGATTACCGAGTAATTCATTGTCCCCACAAACTAGTATTTTCAATTCCTCCTATTAGTTACACGTGAAACATCGACATATAATTGGTTGTGACTAAAAAACGGGTTCTTCAACAAAAACCCAACATGCGATAGACTGGTATGAAATTATATGCATTTTTGTATTTTCGTGTAAGCTTTTTTTTTATCGTATGAGTTTGATTGAATATTTATAAGACTCATATTTGTGTCTACGCAAAAAAATATGATATAAATAATATTTCCTGATGTGGTAAATGTCATAGATTTTGTTTGTTCGGATGATACCATAAAGAAAAAAAAAAAATTCTACCGCGAAATTCTTGATACCATAAAGAAAAAAAAATCATTAAAAACCTCTGATTTAATTAGTATGATGTAGTTGAATAAAAATGAATATTATGGCAGTATTAAAACAATTGTTACCATGAATAGTGGATTGTGTGTTTATTATCTCTTCTATTTTCTTAGTCTCGTTTAATGACCAATTTAATTCCAATATTTGGAATAATTTGAAATGTAATCTTTGAGAAAAAAAATTATAAACGATTATTTGGATTACAACTATTCCATAGATGAAAAAAAAGTTATTACGTTCAAATAAGATATTTATTTATACAAATATAAAAACTTGTAAAAAAAATTCTAAAGATTGCTTTTTATATTTATATTTTTTATTATAGCATTCTAACTTTAAAATAATGTCACCATGATTAGTGGACCTTTTGTTTATTTCTTTTATTTTCTTAGTCTATTTCTGCGGCCAATTCAATTCTATTTTTTGGAGTAAATATAATATATAATTTTTAAAATGAATTTGTTATGTATAAAAGAGATTTAGATTCTATCTATTGCCTAACAATATAAAAAAATGTCACATTCAAATCCCCCTATATATTAATACAGAACGCGCTGAGCATACGTGGCTGATTCTGGTGCTTCGAAATCCTATGTGGCAAAATTACATGCTTCGTTATTAGGCTTGGATAAATTTTAATTTAATTCCAAACCAAAAATAATTAGGTTCGGATTACCATAAATATGTTGATTATTTATGGTCATGTTACATGTATTAATTGTATTTTAATATCATTCCTTATTATAACTATTGAATTGTATATATATATTTTAAAAGTTAATAACTTTTGTATTTTTTATCAGTTTTACATATGTAATATATCAAATTAATCTTCTTTTGATGAGCTTCGATTTAACATCCATATTGTATGCATAAAAAAATAATTTATATTTATTTTTATAACAATAATAAAATTATTTTTAATATTAATTAGAAAAATAAAATTATTTATCAACTAATATATTTATATTTCAAGTAGTTATATGATATAAATTATAACAACTAATACAATATAATACATGTAAGTCATAAGTAACACATATCATTCTAAAATATATAGTAATATATTTTTTTGGTAAAAATATAATTTAGTTTTCTCATTAATTTTAAAATTTAAGAATAATTTTTTAACAAACACCCGTGTAATACACGGGTGTTGTACTAGTAGGAGATTTATTTATGAATAAAAACAATTGTTAATCAGATTTCCATAAAAATTACATTTTATATAGAGATGTCAAAACGGGCTGGCAGAACGGGGCGGGTCGGCCCGCCATCTTGGCGGGCTGCAAAATGGCCAGCCCGGCCCACCCCCGCCATGGGCTGCGGGCTCGGTGGGCTGGCCCGCCCATTTACAAAAAAAAAAA